GCCCAAGACGGCCCATCATCATCATCATCATCATCATCATCATCATCATCATCATCATCATCATCATCATCATCATCATCATCATCATCATCATCATCATCATCATCATCATCAGCATCAGCATCATCATCATCAGCATCATCATCATCATCATCATCATCATCATCATCATCATCATCATCATCATCATCATCATCATCATCATCATCATCATCGTCATCGTCATCGTCATCGTCATCGTCATCGTCATCGTCATCGTCATCGTCGTCATCGTCGTCATCGTCATCATCATCATCATCATCATCATCATCATCATCATCATCATCATCATCATCATCATCATCATCATCATCATCATCATCATCATCACATCACCATCCGAAGCATCCACGGATCGGCGGCACTGGCTGGAGGCCATTTCAATACATATATTTTAAACTGTCCCCCATGCAAAATCAGAGTTAGGGGGCCGAACAGTAATTCATTGTACCTGGGTGCATGGTTTACTAGGGAATTCGTTGTGAGAATTCTGTTTGTTGCAATGTTGTCGTAGTTGTTGTTGTTGCTGTTGTTGCTGTAGTTGCTGCTGAATGTTAATTACTAAACAGTTGTTATTGTTGGACACCCCCCAGGCGCTTTGGCGATCTCGCCTCAGCGCCAGCTTTTTTTGGGGGGGGCCAAAACCGCCCTCCCAACAACAATAACGCTCCCGCTCGAGACTTCCTCCTTCTTTACGGCCGGTGCTCTTGCTCGCCGCCGAAAGCCGCCATCCCAACAAAACCAGCGCTATCGCTCGAGACTTCCTCCCTTTTCACCTTGCATTGGCGCGCCACTCTTTCTCTCATCGGCGCCGCCCCCAGCAACAACAACGCTCGCCCTCGAGACTTCCTTCCTTTTTTACGCAAGGCGGTGCTCCTCCTCACCGCCGAAAATCGCCGTCCCGACAAAACCAACGCTCCCGCCCGAGACTTCCTCCCGCTTTACGCTGGACCCGCGCCCTACTCTCTTTTGAATTGGCGCCGCTCCCAGCAAGAACAGCGCTCCCGCTCGAGGCTTCCTCCCTTTTTCCTCAGGACGGTGCGTTCCTCGCCGACGACAGCTCCCGTCCCAAGAAAACCACGGCTCCCGCTCGAGACTTCCTCCCTTCTTACTCAAGGCGGTGTTTCTCCTCGCCGCCGACAACCGCCGTCCCAACAAAACCAGCGTTCCCGCTCGAGACTTCGTTTTGTTTCACGCTGGACTACCACCCTACTCTCTTCAGTATTGGCGCCGCTCCCAGCAACAACAGCGGCCCTGCTGGAGACTTCCTCCCGTTCTACTCAGGGCCAGGTCCTCGCCTCGCCGCCGACAGCCCCAATCCCCACCAAGGCAATCCTGTCGCTCGATACTTCCTTGGGCTTCACCCTTGGCTGGGGCTCAACTGGCGGTCTCGCATCGGCGCAGCAAGGCGCGGGCATGCGTTTGCGAGGCGGGATTTGAAATTATTCGGAGGAGGTGTTTGCAAGACCTCATTGGGCGGGGGATCTGGAAATGGGAATAACGGACCCCGCTATAGAACAATAATCCCCCATGATGGGGATAGTTATCATGATGGTCGCATCCTTCGTGTGGAAACTTCGCGCACGAGGGTCAACTGATTGTTGTTGTTGTTGTTGCTGGTGATGCTGCTGTTGTTGTTGATGTTGTTGTTGTTGCTGCTGCTGTTGCTGTTGGTGTTGTTGTAACTGTTGGTGTTGGTGTTGGTGTTGGTGTTGTTGTTGTTATTATTGTTGTTGTTGGTTGTCGCCGTCCCACCCTAGACCCACCCGCGACCCACCCCGCGACCCACCCCGCGACCCATCCCGCGACCCACCCCGCGACCCACCGGCAACCCACCCGAGACCCACCCGCGACCCACCCTGCGACCCACCCGTGACCCACCCGCGACCCACCCCGTGACCCACCCGCGACCCACCTCGCGACCCACCCGCGACCCACTCCGTGACACACCCTCAAGGGAGGAAAAACCACCCGGACCTGACAATTGACTTGCACTAAAGCGGCCCTGGGCGTGGACTAAACAGCCCTGCCCTGTTCGACTCATTCCTTGTGTGCGTTTACTAAACGGCTTCGCATGTCGGGGTGATTACTATGGGGTGAATTTTCTGCCCTCTACACCCGCGACCCACCCGAGACCCAACAGCGACCAATTTGCGATTTACCCACATTGGTTTAACGAAAAAATCGGCGCCTGCGGCGGGCTCGTTGCATGATTTATAAAATTTTGGCGCCTGCGGCGGGCTTCTCCACAGTGTCGCAAACTGCTGACGTCCCCACCGCCCCCTCACTCTTATCCGCATCTGCGGGGTGCTGCGTATTTCACGGGGGCCGAACGATGCCATTGATAAATGCACACATGTATGCTTGTATACACTACGCACATATAGACGCACGCACACACGCGCATGCATTGACATATGCGCATGAACTGTATGCGTGCAGATGTGCAGGCTACTCCGGTCAACGAGTAGGTCATTTTCGTCTTACTGGGACGCTGTACGTACGTACGCGCGCGCGTGCGGTGGCGTCCAGTTCTCGCGTGCTGTGTGAGGCTGTCTGACCTTATGTTGGCCCCCAGAATCCCAAATTTACAACTAGCTTTTCTCACGCGGTTTCGAGGGGGACACGTTCCACGGTCTGTTTTTGTGAGGCCGAACGGTCTTATGTTAGCTCCAGAACCAAAATTTTACAAATGGTTTTTCTCTCACGGTTTTGGAGGTGACACGTGTCGCCCGCTGTTCTTGGTGAAGCTGAAAAGCAGAAATCCAAAATTTACGATTAGTCGTTCTCAGACGGTTTCGGGGGAGACACGTGTCACCAGTTGTTTTTGTGAGGCTGAATGGCCTCATGTACTGGCTGCTAGAATTCCAAAATTACAATTGCTTTTTTCTCGCGCGGTTTCGGGAGTGACACGTGTCACCCGTTGTCTGTTGGCTCGAATCCCAAATTTGCAGTTGGTTTTCCGTAGACAAATTCGGGGGTGACACGTGTCACCCGCTGTGTTCTCGTGAGGCTAAATGACCTTATGCTGGTACCCAGAATCCCAAATTTGTACTTGTGTGTTTCGCATGTCGGGAGTGACTCGTCTCGCCCGTGCTTTTTAGGAGGTTGAATGGCCGTATGTTGGCTCCCAGAACCCCAAATCTACAAATGGTTTTTCCCATACGGTTTCAGAGATGACACGTGTCACCCGTTGTTTTTTGAAATGCTGGATGGCCTCGTCTTGGCTTCCAGAATCCCGAAATTACTTGGTTTTTTCTCGCGCGGTTTCGGGGATGGTGCGTGACGCTCGTTGTTGTTACGCGGCGGAATGGCCTCATGTTGGCCCGTGGAATCGTTTCGGGGGAGACACGTGTCAGCCGTTGCTTGTTGTGAAGCTCAATGGCCAATGCTGGCGCCTAGAATCCCGAATTTACAATTGGTTTTCCTTACACTTGGTTTTCCTTACACGGTTTCGTGGGTGACACGCGTCGTTCGCTGTTGCTTCGAATTTGAATGCCCCTATGTTGGCTCCCAGGATCCTAAATTTACATGTGCTTTGTTTCACACGGCTTCGGGGGTGACACGTGTCACCAGTTTCTGTTGTTTGGGGAAGAACTGCCTTATGCTGGCACCCAGGATACCAACTTTACAACTGTTTTTTTTTCTCATACGGTTTCGGGGGTGGCGCGTGTCGCACGTTTTTTTTGTGAGGCTGACTGGCCGTACAATGGCTCCCAAAATCCCAAATTTTACCAACGGTTTTTCTTACACGGTTTCGGGGGTGACAGGTGTCACCCTCTGCTTTTGAGAGGCTGAATGGCCTTATGGTGACCCCCAGACTCCCAAAATTACAAGTGGTGTTCCTCACACAGTTTCGGGGGTGACACGTGTCACCTGTTTTTTTTGCAAGGCTGAATGGCATTATGTTGGCTCCCAGACTCCTGAATTGTCATGTGATTTTTTACTCACACGGTTTCGGGGGTGACAAGGGTCACCCGTTGATTTTGTGAGGTTGAACGGCCTTATTCGGGCGTTGGCAGAACTGGGTTTAGTGGAAGCTGGTTTAGTGATGTGTACTGGGGGAGGCCCCCCCGCCCCGTTCCACTAAGCGGAACTGCCGTCACCCGAAAAACACCAGCTAGACCTGGTTTAGTGATTCTGGCCAATTCAAAGGCCCCGGGGCCCTACCGCTAACTGGGTCCCCTTAATTGGGGTCCTGGCTGTACCCGACTTATGCTGGCTCCCAGAAACCTCAATTTACAACTGTTGTTTGCACGCGTTTTTTCGGGGGTGGCGCGCGTCGCCCGATTTTTTTTTTTTGCGCGGCTGAATGGCCTTTTATGTTGGCTCCCAGAACCCCGAATTTATATTTATTTGTCTTCTTCTCACAAGGCTTTGGGGGTGACACGTGTCACCCGCTGTTTTTGCATGACGTTGAGTGGCCTCATGTTGCCCCCCTGCATCCCGCAATTACAATTGGTTCTTCTCACCTGGTTTCGGGGGTGACACGTGGCACCCGTTGTTTTGGTATGAAGCTAAATGGCTTCATGTTGGCTCCCAGAATCCCAAATTCACATGTGTATTGTTCTCACTGTTTCGGGGGTGACACGTGTCACCAGTTGTTTTTGTGTGAAGTCGAATGGCCTCATGTTGGATCCCAGAAATCAACATGTTCAATTTCTCTCACGCAGTTTCGGGGGTGACTCGTGTCCCCCGTGGTTCTTTGTGAGGCTGAATGGCCTTATGTTGGTTGGCTCCCAGAATCCCAAGTTCCCAGGGCGTGGCCGACGTGGCCTGACTCCAAGAGGGGGTGCGCAGGATTCCGCCCTTGCACGCGGCGGAGCGCCAGGGCGGTCGCAGGGACGTCCCCAGTGGTCCAGTTTGCCCCGCCTTCCTTTTGTTTTCTACTTGCGCACTGCAGCGCTGGGAATAACTATATTCTTGACCGTCCCCCAAGACTGAATGTTTAAAAACAGGTTTTAGGCATTACCCCTGGCTCTGCAGGATCCTGCAAGACCCGGCGCTCTGGCTGACACACCTTTGCATTGACCCCCGTCTCAAGTTGGCATGGGGGAAACGGGTCCTGAGGGAAACGCGTCCTGGAACCCGGGGCCTCCCCCCAGGCAGGACGAGGTCGTCATCCCGATGGATCGTTTCCTGACCAGTCCTGGGGCCCGTGGGGGCTCTGGGAGGCGCAGAGCGGCGAACACCCTGCGGACAGGACCCGTTTCCCTCAGGACGCGCTTCCCCCACGGCGATGGAGGCTCCCGACCTGCGCCCTCGTGCAGCCGCCGGCCAGGCAGTGCGCCACAGAGCCGGCGCCGCTGTGCTCTAGTGCTGTCGGTCGCGCCAGGCCGCCGCGCCGGAGCGCGGCGGCGCCATGCCCGACGACAGCACGGTGCACAGGAATATGTACCTCGTGGAGCAGTAGCGATCGGCCGGAAGAAAAGTAGGCAGAAGCGTGAAGTGGGAAGGCGTTGGACGCAGATTGGGTCTCCGCCCGCCCGCTGAAGAGGAAGGAAGAGAAGAAACCACTCGATCATTGAAGTAGGAAGGCGCTTAACATGAGGTTGGAATCTGGAACTGCAGAAATACCTACTTTCAACGACCGATGGGTGATCCGTACAGTCGGGGCGTTGACCTAAGGAACCCCAAATAAGGAACGAGGCCCCTTTCTCCCATGAGTTAAACTTCGATTCCCCTATCGGATACCTAAGGACAACCTAAGGCAACCTGCGAAACAATTCAGGAACACGGAGCCCCTCCCCAACGAGAAGGGTTCCTTGTTCAGCGCCCCGACTGTAATCCCAGACCCCCTCGCGATGTGGAAAAGAAACTGTTCGCTGGTTTCAGCCTCTGGGGGCCCTGACCCGGGCCCCGCCCAAGCACGACCCGGGTACCGGGGAAAAGGGGGTCCAGAGCTCCAGGGGTCGAGGCCGGGAAAGCACCACGACGTCGGGGGTCTGGAATGTCTGGGATCGGGGGGGGGGGAGAGAAGGAGAGCGGAGGGGGCCCAGCGCAGGGGCTGCGGCCCCCAAGCACCGCACGCGGTTCGCAGCCGCACGAGGCCGGTGGCGAAGAGGACCGGGGCGCCACTGGCGCTGCGGGGCGGAGGTGCCGCGTGGAGGTGGGCTGCTTTGATGAGCAACTGGAAGGCCCCGGAGCCTGTGGGAGCGGACCGAGGTTCAGATTCAAGTCGGGCGTGCCCCTCCACAGATGGAATCGTAAAGGTTCAAATGCTAGTCCGGGGACGAATGTTCGACTACTTGTGTTGACTATGTTAGACTATTTTTGGACTATTCGATTTTTTTTCCGAACTCCGCCTGTAGGAGGGCATGCCGGACTTAAATTTGGATGGCGGGGGACTGAGCATGCAAGGACCGACCGTCCCGGCATTCCTACAGGCCTACCAGGACATGTCATTCGAACCCCAAGAACGCTCTCATAACAAAAACAATGTTCTTCGAGCATGAGCCCGATTTGTTAAAACAAGCCAGTCTCAGCCAGGAATGTTCTGTGACCACATCGTGCAGACCACATTAGGTTCTTAGGACATGCCTTGGTTGGCCTGTGGGCGAGCCAGGACGCTTCGCCACTGCTCGAGGGGAGCAGAGAGGGCGGCGGGCGAGGGGGCGGGGGGCGGCGGTCCTTCTCAGCAGGCGAGTTCGATCCGTCGCCCCCTATCGGCTTGCCACAGGGGTGCACGGCGTGCTACATGTTCGGTAGCTGTTGGTCCTTTCTCAAAGTACATTGAGCGAGGATCAAGAATGGGTCTTGCGCGAGACGGCGTGGCGACCTTACGCGGTGGCTCACGCGGGCCGGCACGGCACGGCACGCTGCTCTGGAGACGAGGGCGCTTACGTGCGACCTTACGCGGGAAGCTTACGCGCCAATGTCGGCGCAGACGCGCAGACGACCCTTTTATCTGCGTCGCTCAATTGGGAACCCCCAAACCAGGTGGTGAGATATCAGGTGGTGACCTGCAATCCCCCAAAAACCGAAACGTCACCGCCGGGCTTTGGAGCACGGGGTCACCGCCGGTTTCTGTAGCTCCTGGACCCACCAGCGTTCGGGACTCGGGGGCGGCCAAGAGGGGGGCGTCCAAGAGGGGGGCGTGCAAATCATGGCTGGCGGCACGTGCGCGGCCCAGGGGGGGGGGCCAGGGACGTAACGAAATAAGCAGAGGCGCCATGAAGTCTGAGGAACAATCATGGCCCGCGCCATGAAATCCAACCCCCCCTTGTCATCACCCCCCTCTTTGCCGCCCCCGAGGGAACTCCTCGAACAAAAACATACGAATCCCCAAACCGGGCGGTGACAGCAACTCGCCCAAGACTCACCGCCGGGTGTGGTGACCACGTTGCGGGACTGCCAATCAGAGGCCTTCGGCCCGCCGGCCCGCCGGCCGAGGCGCGGACGGCGGAGGGAAGGGAGAGGCCTGAGGGCGCGTAAGCCGCCGGTCCTCACGAGCCAGGCGGCCCTGAAATGGCCTCTGAGACTGCCAAGACGATACTCAAGACGTGTGCGACGGCCCCAAGAGGGCCCAAGATGGCCCGAAGATGTCTCCAAGACAGGCCGAGGTGCCCAGACTGTGGCCTCGAAACGGCGCAAGAGGACATCCAGGAAAGCTCGCAGAGGTCGGAATCATTCATTGCCCCAAGGCTTATCAAGGATGTTGGCGTTTGCTCATTGTCGGATTTCCGCGACGGCCACAGAGGCCACCAAGATGGCCCAGAGAGCGCCCAGGGGCCTCGGAGATAGCCCCCATTTACGGCCCAAGAGGTCATCAGGATGGCCCCATGGCCCATGGGGGCCTCAAGACGGCCCAGGAGACCCCCACGACGCCCACGACGGCCTCCAAGACGGCCCTGAAGCGCCCCAACGGGGCCCCAACCTGACCCAAAGAGGCCCCCAAGACGGTTTCCGACGGGGTCAGCCGGGCCAGAAAAACCTTCAGACGACCAAAGGGCCTCCCGAGGAGCCTCCTAAGCCCCCAGGAGGCCCAGGGAAGCCCTCCAAGAGTGCCTCAACAGACTTCCAAGTGGCCTCCTCCTATTCCTCCTCCTCCTGCTCCTCCTCCTCCTCCTCCTCCTCCTCTTCCTCCTCAGCCTCCTCCTCCTCAGCATCCTCCGCCTTAGCCTCCTCCTGGACGAGATGGCCATCAAGGAGTGTGTGTGAACTCGGCTGCGGGCGGCGGCCGCGCGAGGAAGCCAAAAACGCAGACAAAGGATCGACAGAGCAGGAACTTTTAAATGCGTTGGGGGACAAGCTGTCCCAGGAACCCCGGCCCGATCCCGCACGAGGCTATCTATGGAGAGGGCAACACTGTCAGCATGCCTGTGCATCCCCGAGCGGCACCCGAGCGAGCTGAAGCTGATACATATGAACATGTAGAAGGCAATGATGTTCTGTCTTCCGATGCACTGATAGCGTGGTTTCAATCCGTACAGAACCCACACACAACCAAAATGTGAGGAAGATTATCCCACTACCGGCATTACATCTGCAATTCCTATCGCCATGTTGACAAATCCTGCGCGATGACATTCGAACAAGATGCGCTCTGACAAGACATGGAGTTCGATACAAACGCTATGAAACCAAGCTGCGACATGCGCTTGTGCTCTCGGAGCATCATATTCTATTTCGGGTCCATCTGTTGGTCGCCCTCTCTGGGGCACGTTCGATCGTCTGTGGATCTTCTTCGGCGTCTTCGGTGGCCCAAAGACAAACCACTCGAGGGATCTTGTCGCGGCATGCATGGAAAGCAGACTTAGAGGAATATATACACAAGAGAAACACAGCTTTCAGGTGGGTTGAGGCTCATGTGGTCCTGTGGGCAGTCGGGGGGGGGGCGCCTGGGTGTATTGGAAAGCCTTGTCGGCCGTCTTGGAATACTGCGTGACCCTCTTCAGAGGAGTAGCTCCTACCCTGGTCCGGGCACGCGGTGTCAACCCCAAGGGGAGAGAGGCACCGACACAGCAACCCGTGGGAAGAAAAGTGCATGAGGGTGGTCACCTATGCGGGAACGCGGCATCTGTGGGGAATGGCACGACTCGACCGGAGACCCAGGTAGACCGATGCATGCACACACACACACACTGCCCTCCACGACACCCCCTGCCCGAAACATTGGGAAGAAACTCGCGCACGTATCTCTTGTATCCCTCTCCGCATCGTCTCCTGTCTCCCACTTCTGACTAGGGGAGGCTGGGTTCTCGTTTTGCACAAAGGGCGTGCTGCATCTACACTTCACCACTACGACTACTACTCTCCTCTCGCCACTGACAATAAACAGCGGGGATCCCACCTCTCCAGAGTTTTGTTTGCACCAAAGCACGCAGGTGTTTCAAAGTTGGCGTTTCGAATGTATCATTTCACTTGGAACGTCTTCAATCGTTTGGTATGGCGATCCCGCTGTAATTCGCGTTGCCCACATGTCAGGATCGGTTCGCTGCTACCTCAGAGTGCGAGCCACATTTCTCGGTACGATTCCGTCCTTGACCTTGACGTCGTTCTCTTGTCCCCTTCTCCGCCGTTGCCTGCTCCTCATGCTCCTCATGTTCCTCCCAATGTTCATGCTCCTGTTCCTCCTTCTCTTCTTCCTCCTCCTCCTCCTCCCTCCTCTTCTTCCTCCTCTTCCTCCTCCTCCTTCTCCTCCTCTTCCTTCTCCACTCACCTCTACATGCGGTTCTCGCGCAACTAGCCTGCCTCCTCCTTTCTCATCTGTCTCCGAATCTCCTGCGTCTCTGGCCGTTTCGCATCAACTGGCGCTGCCTCTCTTCTCCCATGGGTGCTGCCAACCTTGCAGTCGTCACCATCTTCCTCTGCCCCAGGGCTTTCTTGGGGTTGCTGCGGGTTGACGTGTCACACAGATTCAAAGGTTGCTGGGAGCTGTCAAACACACACAGAGCGAGACGTTTCGGCCAATCGCCCCCTGGGGAACCCCGCAGAAAGAGACGCGCTCTCTGCAGACCAGAATGAGCGAGTGAGCCCTCGCCTCTTGCGGGCACTGCCGGCCGTACAATTGCCGCCACTCCCCGTGCGGCCTGGGGAGTCAAACTGCGTGATTCGCCACACACCCTAATAAGGTCTCGCATCACTGGGTCCTGATTGACCAAAAAAGGAGCTCTGACCCTTTGGGAGGGGACCTAAGTTAGGAGGTAAAAAAAGTAGGTTCAGGGTGTCTTTGCTGCAGATGTACCAAAACAAACCGCCCAGAATTGTAATCCAAAAAAGGCAAGGATGGGCCCCTAAGTGAGGCCACGCCTTCACTCTGTAATCAGGATTCGGGTTTTCTGTATTCCCGATGAGCTAATCACACACCGCTGTCGCCACTTTTCTCTGCGGCGGACCTCATTCACATCAGCGTGCCCCTGTCCCTGTCCCCCACCTCCATGCCCATGGAGATCCGATACGCCGCTACTGTTAGGTACCAGTAAGAGCAGCGCGCCGACGTGGTCTCACTCGGGCTGGAGAACACTGGCGCCAAGCAACCGGGTCACTTATGCTCGACCAACTAGTTGAACATCCCTCCCACGCGTCTAGGGGAACAAAGTTGCTCCGAATCTGGCTTGCCCATCCCTCATCTGCAGATTTCCGGGTGCAGAATTTGGCGGCTCTTGCTCAAAACTGACTAGTGTAGGGTGTTGCAACAAAAGATAAGGGTTTCTGAAATGCTCCTGCAGTTTCACGCTTGGAATGGCACAGCGATCCCAGACAGTAAAACGAAGAGGCACATAGGGCGATCGGCCAATACCGTTTGGAACACGTTTAGACTGTGCATGCATCGGTGTTTTGACAAACATATCTACCTACTCATTCGTCAGGTCGTGTGCATACCTTGTATTGCTGATCGCGTCAAAATGGTGACTGCATGAAG